AGTCCGAATTTTTTTTTGTCATCCCTATTCATATAAAAGATATTCTATCAAGTATATAACATTTAACAATAAAATACAAAATAATTTTAAAAAATGACACAAAATTATTCTTGTTAGGCCTTTAAACCTTTATTTTTAGAAGGGATTACTTTAATTGAAAGAGAGTGGAAAAAAAAAACTACATTTTAACAATATTGAGATGAATCACCCACCTCACACATTGATTGTAATTCATCTTTTTACAAAAAGTCATTTCATAAACAAATCATATGTATTTAAAAAGCTGATTTATTTTAATCAAGAAAAAATTTAATTTATTAAAAAAAATACCTCACTCAAAAAATCAAAATGTTGAATTTGGACTCAAAATTACTTTAAAATCAACTCTATAATCCATTTTAAAGAGGTATATGCTTTTCCGAAAAGCACCGTCAGAAGGGGTAAAAAGCCCCAAAACTTCAGAAAAACAGGGCAGACGAGTTTACGGCTGCGGGAGACAGATGGCGACCCTGATGGATATTGGTTCTCTACATGACAAATAGCTTCCGCCGTTCGGTGATTTGATGATTGAACAAATCAGATCAGATGCTAAAATCTTAGAAATGGAGAACCCAAAACCAAGTCCAAACCAAGCCCAACAGCTGGGACGCACCATCAGAGTACATCTCGCCCACCAACTGTTTGTTTTATGTTCTGACTGAGTAGTTTCTTTTGATCCTCATTTTTTACTAGAGGAATTCGCTCATTTTAAGGACCAAATGTTTGAACCCTACTAACAAAGGACAAATTGCATAAAATAGAAACAACATTTTATTTATGAGATTTTTGTTCTTCTTACATGAACCCTTTTGTAAACCTTTGAGGTTAAAGAAATATATAAGAGAAAAAAAAAGTTTTGGCTGGATTCCATCTCGATGTTAAAGCAATTTGTAGCTGTCTCTTTCTGTATGTTTTCTAAGTCAAACCATATCTACTGCCCTTCATAGTCCAGGAGGAAAATAAGGCCAATAAACAAACACTTGTCTAAAAGTCACATTCGTTGTGCTGTTTTAATCTTTAGAATTAGACAAAGTTAAAAGAGAAAAGAGAATCAATTCATAATTCCTGGACATTTTATTGTAGCAGATAGATGTTAAAGGCACATCTTTTATTCATCAAGGAGAGGTGCCAATTTGGATTCTTCCTTAAAAGAACCCAAGCAAACGCCAAAGCTAATTAAAAAAAGAAAAATGCATTCTTTTTAGCCCTGCTCTCTAACAAGACTTTCTCTGTTTTCAATCTGTCTGATAAGTGATAACATAGGGATCCTAAGAAAGAGGGCATTTTGGTGACTCCCCTGTTAAGTAATAAGATTAAACTTAATATGTGGGATTGGGTTTTGTTTTGATTGCTTTACAGCTTCGTCTTTGTGGTGTTCCTGTATTAAATGGTAAAAAATCTATTCTTAAACAACAAAGAATAACTCTACTAAGCCTACAAGATTTTCTTTTTGTTTTTCTTCCACCTCAAAACTAGGTGGTCGAGTAATTCATTTGTTATGGTCAGAAATTTTTTCGTTATCAGTTATGAGTCACCAAAGACCCCATAAAGAAAGAATCTAAATTTTGAATGTGACATGACACCGTTCTTAATTCTAGCAGAGGAGGAGAGAGATGGACCGAATGGTAAAGCAACTTAAAGAGAGAAATGGGGTTGCGAATGGCAGGGGATGGCATTGGTTTGATGGAGGTAGGCCATTAAGTTTTGAGAAAGATACTCTCTTTCTCTCTCTAAAAAAAGGGAAAGTGGGCAGAGACCTTTAATCCCCATGCAAACAGTAGTGTACCACACACAGTTATGTGGTCGCTCTCAGTTCGGTTGCTATCCACAATTTACTTTTTCTGTTGACCTCTGTCCATTTCTGTAAATCTTTGCTTTAGATTTTGTTTTGGATTTCATTTTCTGCTCTACAAGAATATCATTTAATACACCTTTCAGTCTCTCTGTGTAGTTTAGAGGGAATTATACGGCTATTCTGTTAGCTAACCTCTGCACAAATACCCCTTCAATTCTACCATGTATTTTCAATGAGGCCTTCTCTAGTGTAGTGTAGGTTCAAACTTAGGGGCTGCTGTGGCTCGTTAACCCTTCTTTTTTTTTTTGGGTTTCCACTTTCAAATTTCACCTTCAGTTGGGTGCATATTTTCCTTCGTTTTGAACCCTATGATTTGACATGTATTTACAATATATTTGAAGCTTCTTTGGCAATGAAATGCTATTGGTCATTGGGGTTATTGTGGGGAAGGAGGCGAATGATGAATTTTCTCATCATTGCTGCAATCAAAAAGAGAGGTGTTCTCTCTTTAGTATTATTTCCCAGTTTCAAAAACTCCAAAAGGGGGAAATCAAAAATCATACTTTTCTTTAGAAAACCTAATGATGCCCTCTTGAAAATCTGTCTCCAAGAACTTAGTCATGCAAAATTGCATGCAGAAATATGGTGAAATTTATTTTCAGATGGGATGGAGACTTGAAAGGGGCCCCAGAATGAGAATTGCAATCATGAGAAATTGGACTAAATTCTCATTTTTCCAAATTGGTTTGCTGATGCTTAAGACAGTCGTTTGTTACCAATTTTGTTTTTAGTTTTTTTCATTTCAATAGATTTAAGTATATTTATCAACGACTTCTTTGTTTTCTAATAGACTTCACACTTGATATTAACAATTTTACAACTATAGCCACTTTGCAAACTAAAAGGTCATTTAATTTTTGTTTTCACACATCAAGCTTGTTTCTTATTAATTAATTTATTTTGTAATTTACTTCTTACATTTCTTTTGTTTAAATTTCTGGTCAAAGTTGAAAATAAATTAAGCAAATGATTTGTAGCGTTGTTTAAAAATGAAGATTAAAAGAATTTTCTTCAAAAATAGGCATCCAAAGACAAAATCCACAAAGAACCAAGCAAAAAAAAATATAGTTTAGCTCTCAAGTTTTTAGTGGTATTTAGTAATAGGAAGATTTGTATCGAGTAATCTTTCTGTTCGCTACCACTAAAAATTTGACAGTTAATTATTTATTCTTACTGATCATCTTTCAATAGTAAATAAGCTTGATTTAAAAAATAATAAACTAAAATTAGAACGAAACATTCTTTCAAAATTGGGTAGAACAATGATATAGTTAGAAAGAAAAGATTCCTTTCATATTTATTTTTCTTTTTAGTACAACATATTGGATGGGGGATTGAACTCATCACAACCTCTTGGTTGGAAATATATGTCGCTTTGGCTTCCTCTCATGTATTTTAGTAAACACCATAGAAAATAATGAAATTTGTTATTCTTATTTTTTTATTAAAAAATTAAACGGGACCTGAGAATAATGATGAAGATGGGAAGAAGAAGAATTATGAATGATTGCTGGTTTTGTAGCCACCCAATCAAGCACTTGTAATTTGCTCAATAATTGAAAGCGCTGTGTGTTAATTAGATGCAGCTAATTAATAGCAAAGTATAGGCTAAATTAGATTTTTTGAAGTTTCTCATGCTGCAAAATCACCTTTTTTTTTTCTTTCTCTGTTTTGTCAAGAAGTGGAGTTGGCAGCTTTCAGAGGTTTGATGATGATACAATACAAGACAAATGCAAAAGATCCCCCACTGTTTCCTTTATTCTAACAACTCTTCACCATCTTCTTTCTTTCTTGCCTTTTGGTTAATTCTCACCGCCTTGTCTTTACTTCTGCTGGAAAAAGAAATGGGAATCTGAATATACACAAAATCCACCATTCATAACTCTCTTGAAACTCGAAAATCTAAAATAATGTCGTTTTTCTTTAAAATCCTATCAATTTCGTACGAGACGTATGTCTTATGATTGATTAAACGTACATGAAAATACTCCTTTTCGTGATCCTTCAAATAAAAACTTATTAGAAAGTAAATATTACAACATTTTTTCAAGTTGAATGGAACATTGACCTAAGTTTAAAGTGCAATTTGAAGAAATTTAAAGTTTCAAGGAAAATTGTACGTGTTAAAATTTCGACCATTCATTTGTTGACTAAACGTAGATAAAATATATAAATAGAGACGACACTTTAGGTAGAATCTAAAGTAAATCATGCAGTTTTCTAGCAAACATCCTGAGCTATAGAAATCTAATTCACGATTCAAACGTTTTCTAGCATGTGATTTAGAGTCCAAGTTTTGAAATCTAGTGTATTTGTGGAGTAGGCATGGCAATATTTACAGGAGCATGCGTGCGCTGACTCTGATGACAAAAGAAGAGGTGAAAACTCGTCTCTTAGTACGCATTCCCACCAAAACTCAATGGGTAAGATGAAGATTCTCCCATGTCCTAAATGGCATGACAAAGTGCAATTTAGTTGTTGCCTAATGCCTGGCTATCTCCGCAGTCGCCACTCACCCAACTCATTCAACGAGGTGGGATTTTGAAAGGTAAAAAACGCACCTTTTTTTTTTTTGGTTCTTCAGAAGCACCGAGTAAAAAGACTACAAGATGGGGGGAAAAAAAGCTAACACAAAGAAACAAAGCAAGGCAAAGAGTAGAGCAAGGTTATTCAAGTCAAAAGGATGAGCGTCGAGCAGAGGAGTGGAGTGGAGTGGAGTGGAGAGGGAGAAACGGCGCCGTATTTGGCGAATTTTCTTGTGTTTAATCTCCCAGCCAGAGCCAGCATAAGCGTAGCTGGCAGATACCTATAAGGCTGATTGGGTTTGAGTAGGTCCAATACAGTACAGAAGCTGCTCGATATATGAAGTGACTAAAGGGACAGTTTGTCTTCCGTATGTGTAATCTAATTCAAGGTCCTCAGAGGCCTGAGCCTGATCAGACCATTTAATCAAAAACCAGCACACATTAATACGGTGGGAGCCCACCCCCAGCCCCAGAACCCACTATTAGTCAATTATTTTTAAGGGGTACTTGACTTTGCTTCCCTTGGGTGGTGGGGTGTGGTGTCCCTCTAGTCCAAGATTATACAGAGAGCAATGAAACACCTCTTTCTCTCTTTCTTGTTGTATTTAGTATGCCCAGGATTTGCATGTTTATATAAATCTATAAAAGCCTCAGCAAAACCATGCCTTTAAATCAAATAGCATAAAAGAAGCAAAAAGAAAAGGGTAGGTGCACAGAGAGAGAGAGCGTAGGGTAAAGCAAAAGGATGGTCTTTCTCATACACAGATCCCTATAGAAATGCACCAAACCAAAGCCAACCATTTTCTTGATTTAAAACCCCCCCTGCTTTCTTCTTTGTCTTTCAAGTTTCAACACGGAGAGCGGGTGTTGTAGTTTCAGAAACTGGGTCTTGATTTTTTTTTTTTTCCTTTTTATATGATGGTGTTAGACAGTTTCTCTCTGCTGCTTGCAAGCAAACAAAAATTATCCAGTTTCAAAGGGGGGGAGAGGAGAAGTAAGGATTTGTTGGAATCATTAGTGTTCTTTTTTCTTTCTAATCATTGAAACTTGCTCGAAAATTTAGAGCGTTGTGTGGAGAACGAGGGGGTGATTGAACTGAACTGAAGAAGGTAGAGAGGGAATCTTCCATGAATAATGTTAATGGCAACAGCTGTAACTGGCTAGGTTTCTCTGTCTCCCCTAACGTTAACATGGAACTTTCTTCTTCCTCTGCCACTGCTGTTTCCCCTTCAATTCCTGCAAATCTTTTCCACTCCCCATCTCAGTTTAACTACGGCATTTGCTATGGTGTTGATGGAGAAAATGGTGGCTTTTACTCTCCATTGTCTGTCATGCCGCTCAAGTCTGATGGCTCAATTTGTTCAATGGAAGCTCTCACCAGGCAGCATCCACAAGGTTTGTTGATTTTCTCTCTGCTTGACTTCAAAAATAAAAAAAAAAATGTATAAATCTTCTTCTTCTTTTTGTGCTCATTTTGTTTTATTGTTCACTTTTGGGCTAGAAGTGGTGAGTAGCTCTACTCCAAAACTTGAGGATTTCTTTGGTGGTGCAACTATGGGGTCCCATCACTATGAAAGCAATGACAGGGAAGTTATGGCTCTCAGCTTAGACAGCATATTTTGCCATCAAAACCCAACTCATCATGAGCCCCAAACCCAAGCCTTTCCACATTTCTCATCCTTAAGGAGCCGTGAAATGATGGTTCAAGACTCGAAGGTAATCATGCCAGATGGGTGCAATCTGCAGCAGCAGCAGCACCCAACAGTGGCAGAGAGTGAGATTTCTGGTATGAAGAATTGGGCTGCTCCAAGAAACTATGGGACTAATAATAGTTCGTTCGAGCAGAAGATGGTGAGCTGCATGAGTGAAAATGGAGGTGAACCTGGCTCCATTAATGCTATGGCTTATGGGGACTTACAGTCATTGAGCTTGTCTATGACTATGAGCCCCAGCTCTCAGTCAAGCTGTGTCACAGCCACGCAGCACGTCTCCCCTGCCATGGCTGACTGCTCTGCCATGGATACAAAGAAAAGAGGCCATGAGAAGATGGATCAGAAGCAAATTGTTCACAGGAAGTCTTTGGATACCTTTGGGCAGAGAACCTCACAGTATAGAGGAGTTAC